GAAGCCGAGTGGAAGCTGAAGATGCTCCGGGGAGCAGCATCAGGCTCGCAGAAAGGCTGCGCATTCTGGGGTGCCACCTGCCGGCACCTGGACCGCGAGCCGACAGGTTACACCCCGGGGAAATCTCCCTCTTCCTTCCTTTTCATTTTTTGAGCACGTACGGGTTTTGGTGGAAAGAATGACGGTCTCATCCGTCTCCTGCAATCTGGAAGGCTGCAGGAGGAACAGCTCCGTCCCCAAGCATTTGAGGCTGCTGCAAAGCCAGCTGTGCCTGCAAGGCGCGTGGGTTTGCCCGGAGGCGGCGGCGGGACCGCCCGGGTTTGCCCGCGCCCGGCTCCTTCCTGCGGGCTTCCTGCGCAGGGCACGGGGAGCCGGGCTGCGCTGCCGGCCGTGAAGATGGATGCTTCTTCCCCTGCACTGGCAGGGCTCCCGGTGGGTCTGAGCACACGACAGCGGTCACGGCCCACGGGGCATCCCGCTGCCCGCAGCCGGGACGAGACCTCCAGCTCCCAGCACACGGCGTCAGGCCGGCAGAGAGAAAGTTGCTCTGAAGCCGACTGCTCCCTGCAGCCTTGCGGACCGGGAGATGCCTCCTGCCACCATGACCTGTGAACATGCCTCTTGTTCACACCCTGAACAGCTCGGAACGCTGAGAGCTCTGGGGGAAGAGGGGACATTCCCCGGGCTCAGCACCTGAACGGGGTGCCACGGCAGTGGCACTTCCTCGTCTCCTGGCCACACGAGAGCATCTGGACCTCAGGCCCTGTGCCAAGCTTCTCTCCCCTCAAGAGTGAATCACTGGCTCACCAAAGGTAGCATGTTCAGGGGAGGAGGGGAGCGGTTTGGGCTGGGCTCAGACATGCAGCAGGTGAAGTTTGTCACTTCTACCAAGAAATAGTGCTCAGAAGCAAAGGCAGCAGCCCAACTCAACTGTCTTGAGAGACAAAGGGGTGCAAAGGTGAAAGTGGCAGGGCCTGAAGATCACTCCTGAGTGTCGCTGAATTGAATGCTGCTGCCTCTGTCTGCCTCTGTGCAGCAGCCAAGTGCACTGCAGCAAGGCTGGACTGGAGCTGTGCCACTCCCATCCAGGGTGGAGGATGCCCCCAGGTCTGTGATGGCCCTGGGACAGCGTGGGAGAGAGTCCCCTAGGACAGGTGACTGGCAGTGGATGGCTCACAGGCAGTTGTTGATGTTTTGCTATGATGCCACCCAAAAGAACTTCCTCTCAGGGACAAATCCAGCAAGAATGGATCCTTGCAAGCAAAAAATACCACCATAGTCAGTCCTAAATCCAAATGCTCTAATCTTTCTCCTGCTATTTCTATAAACATGCTCTGGGGAAACATACCTGACCTGAGGCCTTTCTCCAAGGTGTATTTTACACCATTTCAGTGGCTGCACAGTGGGGTTGACAGGGCAGGGCTCGGTGGCCATTGCCCACCCCCGCCATCCCAGCCAGGAGAGGCGAGCCCCATCCTCAGGCATCAGGCACCAGCCTGGGGATAGGGACAAGCCAAGGCCACAGCAGGATGGCAGCCTGCACAGAGGGGTCAGGGTCAGTAATTTGGGAAACTGAGGTCAGACACAGCACAGGTTTCAGGGTTATCCTCAGGGCCCTGACAGTTGCATAACATTCTGCAGTTCCAGCTCTTCTTTTAATCATCGTAACAGCATATATTTTATAGCAATTAATTACCTGATATATTTGAGTAGGTTTCGTAACATTCAGAAGCATTAAAAGCATTTTTGTTTTGAAAGGTGCCATGAAAAGATCAGAGCAAAGTACCTGAGGCCAGTGCCAGGTGTCACAGCTATGTCAGGTTCCGCTTGCTCTCTGCCAGAAGATAAAATCTTTCTACTTGTGAGTTGGATTTGTTCACTTCTTCCCAGACCTAGAGCCTGGAGGATCAGAGAAACACATTATTCTGCCTTTCAAGAGGCAGTTTTGCAGCCCACATGTACCTGCCCATGCTAGCGTTCGCAGAGGTAAATCACAGGTCATAATTACACGCCAGTAATGCTGAAAATAGAGTACTAGCACTGCATTAAGGAAACCCCCAATGTCTGAAAGGCCTACAAGAAACGAGATGGAAAATGAAAGCTCTGGTCTCAGTGGATGTGCCAGCACATCTGTGTCTGTCTGCACAGGCAGCCCTGCTGGCCTCAGAGGAGCAGGGTAGACAGAGGAGCAGCTCTGTGGTGGGCAGGGACACCACTGTCCTCCACACAGCAGATGCAGCTGGAATCTCCCCCAGCTCCTGGCACCTTCTCACTCATCCCCACTGGCCTCTCTCGCCCCTCGGAGGCTCTGCCTGACTCCTCACTGCTAGGTGCTGCAGGTCAGCCCAGCTGTTGGCTCACAAAAGCAGAAGCACCCCACATGCACCCCTACAAGGGTCTGTTGGGCAGCATTAAACAGGGTGTCTGTTCACGAGGGCTCCTCTCTGCCATGTGCACATCACTGCATGGGCAGGTCCCAGAGCTTGCCAGAGGAGCTGCACCCCGGTCAGAGGGTCTGTGTGTGTGGAGAGGCAGTGCCCCGAGGGAGGCGGAGTGTCCCTGAAAAACAGGCAAAACTTGGCCTTTCAGGAGTGGCACAAACAGAGAACAAAACTATTTTTAAAAATGCATCTTCTTGGCACAATTACACCAAGGTGTCAAACAGACCATCCCACGGAGTTCCAGTGCAATTGCCATGAAGAATCTTTTTCATTTGTGGGGACAGAATTTGGCCTGGGGCACTTGCAGACCTGCACAGCTTTACAAGTGTTTTTGAGTTCTTGCCACCGTCTCCGAGCCCCCTGCCAGGGTCTGAAGGCAGCCAGGGCAGCCAGAGGGGTGTGCTGGACTCCGACACAGCTGTAAAGCTGTACGGGTCAGAAGCGTGTCAGGAGCAAGTGAGGTGGGCACTGGGAACACGGGGATTCTGGAGGTCACTGGTGAGACAGCGAGCTGGGGCTGCTGCTGCAGGAGTATGTGCCAGCACTGCTGGGGACTCCGGCAGCGTGGCTGCGGGGCAGCAGCTCCGCAAGGATGGCAGGGTTCAGGTGGGCACGCCCAGGCACATGCCGCATGTCGCTGCCAGGGCTGCAGCATCCCTGCTGTGGAGATGGACTGGGAGAGCCAGGTATGTCCAGATGGAGAGAAGATGGCTCTGAGGAGATTTGATGTCCACAGGGGCTCCAGGAGAGGGACAGGGCTTGAAGTGACAGAGCAGGGGAAAGGGTTCTCACTGACAGAGGGGCAGGGTTAGGTGGGACAGTGGGAAGAAATTCCTCCCCACAGGGTGCTGAGGCCCTACCAAGAGGAGCTGCGCTGCCCCATCCCTGGGAAGGTGGCAGCCAGGATGGGCTGGGCTTGAAGCAGCCTGCTCAGGTGGCAGCTGTCCCTGTCCCTTGTCCTGTCCCTGTCCCAGTCCCTGTCCCTGTCCCCTGTCCCTGTCCCTGTCCCCTGTCCCCTGTCCCGGTCCCTGTCCCTGTCCCTGTCCCTGTCCCTGTCCCTGTCCCGGTCCCTGTCCCTGTCCCTGTCCCCTGTCCCCTGTCCC